CAGGAGATGCAGGATATGTGCATTCTATCCCTGAGTCAGGAAGATCCCCTGGAGGAGGAAATGGCAGCCCACTCTAGCATTCTTGCCTGGGAAATCCCATAGACAGAGGAGCCTGGCAGGCTACGGTCCATGGGGTCGCAAGAGAGTCAGACAGGACTGAGTGAGCATGCCTGAGAGACTGTTAGGAAGACCGAAGATGGTTTATGAAGGAGGTGAGATGTAATAATATTAAACGCTCATACACTGAGGAAGGCACCATGCTGAGCAGTTTAAATACAAAAGGTGTTACATACAACTCTATGCGTAATGGGAATATCCCCACTTTACATGGAAATAGGTTTGGCAAAGTTAAGTACATGTCCAAGGTTCCATGGCCAGCAAGTGGTGCGTAAGGAGCCCTGGAAGCCTGATGCCCCTGCACTTTATTAATACGGGGCAGACTTGGATCGACAGAAGGACATACGAGGGTCTCAGAGCATGAGGGCAGTGTAAGGAGAGGAATGGGAAGTACTGACTAGATCAGTGAGAGTGAAAATCAGGTGGGCTGGTCAAAGCCTCGAACACCTGGGTAAGTGGATCCTAAGCGGTACATGTTCCCAGGACCTCATATTTTGAGGTTTGCAGAGAAATCTCCAGTGGCTTGAAAAGCACCTTTTAGAAGTAGCAGCATTTTTCTCTGCTAATTTAGCCTTACAGTATTACCTGCATGGTTAGAGAGAGGTTTTTTTCCTTTTGTGCCACAGTTAGAGCAGTGCCTGGCACCTGACAGTCACTTGGTAAATGTTTGAATAAATACCTGAATGCAGTATGTGGCTCAGAATCTACATGAGAGGCTTATTCTTTATTCTGCCCAATGAGCCACAAAATTTACCTTTTCTAAAGCTAAATTTTAGAGCTCCCCCACCAAGTCTGATGCCAGTTTTCCCTGTCCCATTGTCCTTTATGTTTTGTTCTCTGCAAAGGTCAGAATGTCAGCTTTTTAATTCCTTTAAGAACTGTTCATTCTGCCAGATTCACTCTCGTGTCCGTCTCTGGTTATCCCTTGCCATTCTCACTGCCAGTCACCGTAGGCCTTAAGCTTGCCCGCCTGTTCCCCGGTGGGTCTCCGGGCTGAGCTCCCCACCTCCAGCCTCTTCGTGGATCCGGTCAGTCCTGCCCGGCGTTGCCAGGCCCCGTGCTCGGAGCTCCATGGCCTGATGGTCCGGCCTTTCAGGCCTTGCGTGGGGGGGAGCCCACCCCCGCCCTCAGTCGGCTCTCGGGGCTCCCCAGCCCGCTCGGGGCACGTCTCCCAGCGTCCTCAGCGCGGCTGTCTCAGGTGGTTCCTCTTGCTGCCCCCCGGCCCCAGGGGGTCATGCAGTGAGTTCCTCTGCCCCATCTGCCAGTGATGCCTTCCGTGTCTCTGCCTCCTCAGAACCGTTCCACAGACCTTTGTAGACTGCTCAGATCCCAGCTTCTCCTCACTTGCCCGCTTTGAATTATTACTCTTTCCTCTAAACGTCTGTTTACATCTGTGCTTTTACATCTTCATACAGTATCTTCCCTGGCAAATTACATGATTTTTGGAAGTCTGTAGGTGCTCTATAAAAATGAATATTTAGTGTTAGTTGTCATACAGATTTTTAAAAGTCAGACATGGATGGCTTGGTCTATCAATATACATAGAAATATGCTTAGGAATCTACAAAACTACTAAAACTAATAACTAATTTGGCAGTTACAGGACCCAAGATTAATAGGCAAAAATCAGCTGTATTTTTATATAGTAGCAATAAACTATTGGAAATTTAATTTTAAAAGCCATTCCATTTATAATAATATAAAAATACTTAGGAATAAAGTTAATAAAATAAATGGAAGATTTTTATATTGAATACTTCAAAACTTTGGTAAGAGAAATTAAGAAAACCTAAACAAGTGGAGAATAGGTTCTGTTTGTGAGTTAGAAGACCCAATACTGTTAAGACAGTATGTTTTCAAAATTGATTATAGATTCAACACAATTCCAATCAGAATCTCAACTTTTTTTTTAAAATATATATATGCATAGAATTTTACAAGCTACTTCTAAAATTTACACAGAAAAGCAAACATGTAGAATAGCCATTTTGAAAAAGAACTGCAAAATTGGAGAACTGACACGATCTGATTTCAGGGCTTCACTAGGAAGCTGGTGTGTAGCCAGGATGCTGTGGTTGTGGTCAGTGGACAAGCGTATACATCAATGGGACTGAATAGAGTCCAGAAATAGATGCTTAAATACGTGAGCAGTGGATTCTCAACAAGGAGACCAAGGTAATTCACAGGATAAAGGAAGAGGAAGACACAGGAGAAAATATTTATGAACAGGAGGGGGCAAAAATTTCTTAGCTCAGACACAAGCATGAACTGTAAAAGAAGAGAAATGATAAACTAATATCGAAATTTAACATTTCTGTTCTTCAATAAATACTGAAAGAAAATGATAGAACAGCCATGGACTATGAGAAGATATTTGCAAAATAGAAAACCAGGGACTTGTATCCAGACCATATGAAGAACTCCCCAAGCTCAATAAACAAAACAACCTAGTAAAAAATGAAGTGAAAGAAACTATTCTATATGATACTGTACAGTGTGGCTACATGTCATTTTACATTTGTCAAAACCTAGAAGTTGTACAACACAAAGCGTGAACTTGAATGTATATGAGAACTCTACTTTCTTCCCAGTTTTTCTGTGAATCTAAAATTATAAAGTTTTGGAGGGGACTTCCTGGTTGTCCAGTGGTTAAGACCCTGAGTTTCCAATACAGATGGTGCAAGTTTGATCCCTGACCAAGGAAATAAGATCCTGCATGTGGCAGGGCCAAAAAAAAAAAAATGTCTGTTTTTGAAGGGATATAAGATTTGAAGAGAGAGAATAAATATGCATGGCAAACAAGTACATGAAAAGATGCTCAGTATCATTAGTTATTAGAGCAATGCAAATTAAAATGCTACTTCACGCCTATTAGAATGACTGTTAAAAAGCTGGCAATACCAAGTGCTGACAAATATATGTGAAACTCATACATTGTTAGTGAGAATGCAAAATGACACTGTCACTTTAGAAACTGGCAGTTTATTATTTTTTCAAAATAGAATTAAACATGTGCTTACAATATGACCCCAGAATTTCACTCTTAGTTGTTTAGCCAAGAAAAAGGAAGGCTTGTCAATAAAACAAAAACAAGGCCATTGTTGGCAGTCCAGGAGTTAAGACTCTGTGCCCTCAATGCAGGGTGCACACGTTCAATCCCTGGATGGGGAACTAAAATCCCACATGCCACATGGCGGGGCCAAAAAAAAGAAGCATTAAAAAAATTTTTTTACACATAAATGTTCAAAGCAGCAGTATTTCTAATGGCCTTAAACTGGAAGTAACCCAAGAGTTCATCATCTGGTAAATGAATAAATATGGATAAACAAAATCCATATACTGCAGTACTATTCAGTGATAAAAACATGGCTGAATCTCAAGAGCATCCTGCAGAAAGTAGCCCGTCCCAAAAGGCTCAGCACCACGAATCCATCTATGTGATGTTACAGAATAGGCAGAACCATAACCAGTGTGGCTCGTGGGGTGTGGACTGACTGCAGAGGACCCCAGGAAAATCTCTGGGGATGATGAAAATATTCTATGTTTTTCTGTGGGGTTTTTTTTGGCCCTGCCACATGGCTTGTGAGATCCTAGTTTTCTAGTCAAGGATCAAACCCAGGCCCCCAGCAGTAAAAGCTCAGAGTGCCAACCACTAAATTGCCAGGAAATTCCCAAAATATTTTATATCTTAATTGTTGTGGGAGGTTATACAGCTCTGTACATATATACATTCCAACTCATGGAAGTGTACACTTAAAGTGAGTAAATTTTATTGTATACAATTGAACCTAAATAATATTGTTAAAAAAAAAAAAACATAGGAAGATACTGGTATCTTGAGACAAAAGTCAGAAAGACAAGAGTGGAAGGAATTCTGTTTTCCTTCTGTATGGTTAGTGCTTATCCTCTTGTTTATCCTTCCTACCAATCCGTTCCATCTTCCACCAGGTGGAAGTTCATGAACAAATGGATAGCAAGTGGCATTTCCAACTGAGCCAGATCAAGTTTGACAACAAAGTTTGGAAGTTAATATTGGTCCAAAACTGACTCAAAGAAAGGGTAGTCAGAACCAGGTGGGACTTTCTCATCAACAGCACCCACTTTTTTGCCCATTACCATGGTTTGGGTTCTCAGATGCTCATTTGTCACACTGTTCTGTGTAAACACGTTACTAGCCAATGGGGGCAAAGGCAGGGGTGGTTAGAGGAGGAGGCAGTTCATGTAAGATTGCCCTTTTAAAAGTGTTTACTTATTTTTGTCCGTGCTGGGTCTTGGTTGCGGCATGAGGGATCTTTTCATTGAGGCACGTGGGCTTCTCTAGTTGAGACCTGAGGCTCAGTAGTTGTGGCACGTCATGTGGGATCTTGTTCCTGGACCAGGAATCAAACTTGCATCCCTGCATCACCAGGTGGATTCTTAACCACTGGACAACGACCAGGGAAGTCCCACAATTGCCTTATTTTAGGTGAGATGTTACTTTGTCGGATGGCACTAAATGCCCCCAGCACTTCTAGTCATGGAGTCACTAAAACCACAGCTGCACGTTGTCAAGGGCCTTGGGTTTCGGGAGAAAAGTATAAGCAGCTGGGCAGATAGTGGCAGCTCTGTGGTTGAATCAAGAGTGCAGAGAGTTGGATTCAGGAAGCCTGTCTTCAAATTTGGTCTCTGCCCTTTACTAGCTCTGCAGTCTTCAGTGTGACTCGGCCCCTCCGAGGCTGGGTTTCCTTGTCTGAGCAGCGGGTCGTCTGGACTCGATACCCACCTGTCCAGTGGTTCTTAACTGTGCAGTGAAGGGTGGTACAGTGTTAGGACTGCTGATGGGCTCTGGGTACTTGGCATCCGAGAAACAAAAGTTTATGTGGCTCCATTTTGTGGTGTTACAGGTTCAGCTTGTGGGTTTAGATGAAGAGAGTTCAGAGTTTATCTGCCGGAACACCTTTGACCACCCATACCCCACCACCAAGCTCATGTGGATCCCTGACACGAAAGGCGTGTATCCAGACCTGCTGGCGACAAGCGGCGACTATCTCCGCGTGTGGAGGGTGAGCGGGCGCTCGAATGGCCTTGGGTGGCAGCTGTGGACTCACAGAGAGCAGGCTGGGGCTGGAGGCCGGGTCACTGCAGCCAGGAGAAGCGAGTGGTAGCGGGTGTGGACTGAGCTTGTTGGGCTCAGCAGATGTCTTGGTCAGTCTGGCCCAGATTCCTTGAAGTCCGGCTGCAGTCAGCCCTGGAAACTCAGGACTCAGTGAACGTGATATAAGGACGAGAGCTTTCTGTGGGGGTGGGGACACCAGTGGCCTCTTATTCTGCTCACAGCCAGGATATTTTGAGTACACTGGACGAAATCCCGGGCCACTGGTTCTGTTGCAGCGTGGGAGTGGACGGTGGGCCTCGCCTCCCCTCAGCTGAGCCGTCACTGTAGCCTCTCCTGTAGCTGGAGGTGTAACACCCGACTAGGCGGGTACAGACACTGATTCGGGCAGGATGAGAAGACCTCTTGTCTTAGAAGGATTTGGGGGTGAAAATTTGGAAAACAGCTGGGCAGGGGAGAAAGCTTGGAAAGAAGTAGCATTCAAGTCATTCCTCTGGGTTGTATTATTCTTCATGATAAAACTGTCTCCACACGTCTTACATTTACTAAGGTATCATCTGAAAGAGGCTTGGAAGATTTTTTGTGAAGCTAAGACTGGCTGAGTTTGTAAAAATTATTGTTCCTTCAGGTTGGCGAAACAGAGACCAGGTTGGAATGTTTGCTGAACAATAACAAGAACTCGGATTTCTGTGCTCCTCTGACTTCCTTTGACTGGAATGAGGTGGATCCTTATCTTTTAGGTAAGGAGCCAGGGAGGGGGTATGCCAGTGTGAAGAAGCAGAGATATGTGTTCTCAGCTGTCACACTGGGTCTTGAGGTACATGCAGCCTCCTAAAGTGGGGCTGAGTGGGAAAGAGGCTAAACAAGGAATGTGGTTATTAATTCCTCCCATGGAGTCGAGCTTCCCACATGTGTGAGTCTCATCTCGCCAGGCAGAGGCTAAGGCCCTGGGGTGAGGATTGAGCACATGACGCTTGGGTTCTCCTGGTACCCTCCCTGCACTCAGGAAGTGCTTGCAGCATGTCTCCTGGGCTCACCGACGAATAGGCACACGGAGAGAGGCTGGCGTGGGACCTCAACCCCGTCAGCCGCTAACTCACACTGGTTGTTTGCAGGTACCTCTAGCATCGACACAACGTGTACCATCTGGGGGCTGGAGACCGGGCAGGTGTTAGGGCGAGTGAATCTCGTGTCTGGCCACGTGAAGACCCAGCTCATCGCCCACGACAAAGAGGTACTCATGCTGTTCTGCAGGTGCTTTCTCTGCCTTAGTGTGAGGTCAGGCCGTTGTCTTCCTTTTTTGCAAGTGACCTGGAAGATCACTATATAATGCTGATGTCTTCTCATCTAAATTGAAAACGGTAATATGTCAGAACAGTGGAAAACAACATGATGTGAATGCAGTTTTTTGACTCATATAAACAACTTATTCTGTAGTCTTGTTTTTCTTTTTGTGCCAGAGATTGCTGGTTTTTAATAACAAAATCCCTTAGAGGCAAACTTGAACCTGATGTGATTAAAAAATAATCTTATAATAGAGTCACACTAACTTGAAATATATTTACTTTTTTGGGAGCAGGAAGGCAAGAAGAGGGGAAATTTCCTGGCAGATAAAACTAATTGGTTAACTCTTCTGTAAACTTGTTTTGTGAATTTCTAGTATGTTCACTTAATACTTACATGTGTAATACTATTTGGAATTGAATATGGTTAATTTTGATGGTGATGTTTCTCCTATGTGTATTGGAAGGGTTGAAGGGAGCGACCTCTGATTGTGTTCACAGAGCCGTCTTCTGAGTGATTTTGTGAAACGGTCATAAATCTTTTAACTCCCAGAGCCACTGCGTGCTGGTCCTCTACCAGGGCAATCACAGGATGTTTCCTGTGGGTAGTGTTCCTTTTCTATCCCACTCCTGTACAGCGAGGAGTATTAATGTCTGTACGGACTAAAAGGATGCCTCGATATTAGGCAAGAACCGTGAGGTTGTCACAGAAGTTGGGGACCAGGTTATCATTCTTAGCGCGAGGTCGTTCTTCAGCTTTCTGTGTTCCCAACGCCGAGATCTGTTGGTCTGCTTGACTTGGTCCCCGTAAACCGAGGGGCAGAGGAAGAGCTTGACCTGCCGAGAACAGCAGTAGGGGCGTTCTGCACCCAGTGGAACAAGTTGCTACATTTTGGTTCTGTGACACTTAGCCTGTCCTTTTCTGTCAGGGTCCAGCCCGGAAAACTAGAGCTACTCCGCATGTTTAAGCTGAGGGGATTTAATGAGGAGATGGCTCACACAGATGATGGTAAAGCTGAGGAGCCACACTGGCCACAGTGAGGTCGTCTGGACGAGCGGAACAGCGAGTTTACCAGCCAGCAGGCCCTGAACCAACACCCTGGCCTCAGAGAAATGAACCTCAGGGTGGTTGTCCGGAGAGCAACATCATACCTCCCAGCACCTTTGATTTTCATCTCTGTTGAAGTGAAGGCTTGCTCGGAGGTTCTCGTTGCTGCTGGCGAGTTGGTGCAGAGCGGGGTAGCGTGTGTCTGGGAGTTGTCGCCCTCTCTTGGCTTCTGCTGAAATATGTGGGTGGGACACGGAGGAAGGAGCAGTCAGAGCTGGCTTTACACGCTTGGCTGTACTGCTTGTGGGCACCTTATTGCTTAGTGATGCTGCCGCGGTGTCCCTGTCCCTGGGAGTCAGCCAGCCGTGGGTACACATGTGGATAAACATGCCCCAGCCCTGATGCAGCTGGCCGGTGCCTAGGTCTGTCGGATCTTGGAATGGCCAGCCTCGTTTCCTGTTGAACCACTCCTCGTTCCCACCATAGAGAGAGAAGTGTGTCAGCCAGAGGAAAAGCAGTTCATGATGCTGATAGAAACAGATGCTTGTTGGTCAGTGTCCCCCAGTAGGTAGACCCTCAGGAGGGCTGGGGTCACAGTGGGAGGGAGAGGTTCCACTCACGTCTCCCCGGAAGCCAGCTCTACGGTCCTTGAGCCCAGGGGATGGGTTTTGTTTGGCATTTTGTTTTTCTTTGTTCAGCATTTTGTTTTTCTTTTTCCTCTCCCCCCCGCTGATCTGGCTCTAGTTTGTCGGTCTCTCTTCGTCCCTTTCTTTCTTTGAAGCCCTCTGTTGCTCTCTGCCTGTTTTCTCATAGACATGAGTGCAATACAAAGTTTGCAGCAGGTAGAAAATGCAGAAGACAATAATTCAAAACCTAAGTTGATACACTTACGAACACAAACCAACTAGGAGAAGAAACAGCATTTCCTAGGAGAGCGGTATTAACCCTCTGTAAATAAAGGAATACCCGAGCCTCCCATGATTCACAGTGGTTCTTACCTCTTTCTTGCACATGAGTCTCAGGTGCAGGTTTCACAGCAGAACTGTGGTCAGAGGAGGGCTACTTCCGCCTCTCAAGTCGATGACCTCAGCCTTGATGTGGTCATGGATCTGCTCTGATGATACATAGATGAAAGCCACGAGGGCCAGGAAATAAATGTCTCAGTCTCGTAACAGGGTGGCAAGAGATAGCCACTGGTTCTGGCTTCATTAAGCCCGTCCAAGCCGACCGGATAGAATACTTGCTGAGTTCTTTGTGCTCTGTTGGTCAGCCGGGTATGTGCTGGAAGGTGTTATCACAGGCGGTGGAGGAAGAATACTTGGAAGGCAGCAAGTGAGAGGAAGCCTACTGGCCTCCATCGTAGGGTGATCGTCACTCTTTGGGTAATCATTGGTGTCAGCACTCTTGGTTTCCAGTCCTCACAGTCACGGTGTGGCTTTATTTACCTCCTAAGTCATGAGCAGGGGTTTAGATGAACCAGGGGACAGTAGGTTTCCCTGTGACATGAAAAGGAGGTAACTGACCTGAATCTGACTGTTGCTTCTTACTCACCAACAGGTCTACGACATTGCATTTAGCCGGGCAGGGGGTGGCAGGGACATGTTCGCCTCCGTGGGTGCCGATGGCTCGGTGCGGATGTTTGACCTCCGTCACCTAGAACACAGCACCATCATTTACGAAGACCCACAGCATCACCCACTGCTGCGCCTCTGCTGGAACAAGCAGGACCCCAACTACCTGGCTACCATGGCCATGGATGGAATGGAGGTGAGACCCCACTTGAGGCTCACTGAGGCCCTGCCACTCCGCTCTGGTCCTGCTTAGTGGATCCAGGAGAGCGGCTCTCAGCTGGTGGCAGTTTTCTCCCCAGAGGGTTTTTGGATCCACCTGGAGACGTTTTGGATTGTCCCAACTACGGAGGGGGTGGGGGGTGCAGGAAGGTGTGGTGCTCCTAGTTTCTGGGAGCTGGGGGCCTGAGATGCTGCTTGCTGCACATGCTGTGGTGCCCAGGACCACTCCCCGCTACACACAACACAGCGTTAGCCCACCCCAATGTCAGTAGTGCAGAAACTGAGAAAACCTGATCTAGAATAAGGACTGTGTGTCAACAACTTGTAATACATAAAGAGCTGGACTCAGAGCCAAAAGCAGCAGTATCTGAAAAGTCAACCAAATCATTCATACTTCTGGTGCTGAGTAAACAGGCAGTTTTCCCTGTCGTCTGGGCAGAGTCTTATAGCCTTAGTGAGTAGATGGGGAAATGGCAGCTGTGTAGCCTGTTGTTTCATCGAAGCAGTCAGTTGTGGGTGGACATGATGCCGTGATGAATTGTATTTTGAGGAAGCCAGTAACTTTCAGATTTTGCTTTGGGGCTCAGGGGAGAGGCCTCTCATCTGTCCAGCTGAGCAGGCACAGAATTCTGAGCACATGCACCTAATGGCACTTGGTGGATTATTCACATTCGTGTTACCTGCCCCTCCTCCTCCCCTGCAGCCTAGAAGCCCCATGTGGCTTATGATACAGACTATAAATGACCCGTGCCTTTGTCTCTTTTTCCCTCAATCTTATAGTTACTTTGGGGACCCCTCTGTCTCTAAATCTTTTAAGTCTACAGATGAGCAAGTTATATGTACACATTTTTTTTTCCCTTGTGTAGTATCCTGTTTTTTTTTTCCTGTCACCCACCGAGGTTTCTTGTTCTTTCTGCAGGTAGTGATTCTGGACGTCCGAGTTCCCTGCACGCCTGTTGCCAGGTTAAACAACCACCGAGCATGCGTCAATGGCATCGCGTGGGCCCCACACTCATCCTGCCACATCTGTACTGCAGGTAATTACTGGAGGGGGGGAGGGGAAGGGAGGGGAGGGGAGGGGAGGTCTTCCCCTGGTCTCCTTAGCATCGTAAGCCGCACTCCATCCCAAGAAGGGTTTGAGAGATTTACACAGTGGTGCCCCTGAGAACCTCCCTACACTAGTGCAGCTGAAGCAGTCTGAACTCCCAGATGATCTTGTACCCGCAGTGATATCAGAGAATCTGTATACTGTCTACATTGTAGACAGTTGCAGGCTTGTGTTGCCCACTGTGTGTCCCCAGAATCCCGGCTTGCACAGGAGGCGCATTCAGAAATATAAGAAGAGAGGCAGTCTCTTTGGCTGTAACCTGCCCCCCGCCCGCCCCCCACCCCTGCAGAGCTCTGGGTGCATTGAAGGGCCCTGTGGAACCTGACTGGATCTGCAGCATGTGATGTGTAGTTCCCATTTCACCATCTGCTAGACCCCAAAGAGTACCCCTTAAAAATGTGCTGGCCATCAGAGTTCTTTTATCATAGAAATAATGTCTGGTTTTAAAAATTAGACGACACTGAAACAGTGCAGAGGTGTATGAAACAGGAGGGTGAAAGTCCTCTTCCCTCCCTCCTTTCCCGTTTCCACCTTAGCAACGTAGTTTGGTGGTTTGGGGCCATTTCAGCTTGAATTCGAAAGCACGAAGCTTTTCCTGTTGGGGCCTCTGCTCATGCCTGTCCATGTCGTTGAGAAGCAGCCAGAGGCCCAGGCCTACCCCCTTCCTCTGAGCCTCAGGTTGTGGCCTGCCTTCTTCACTGTGGCCCTCACTGATGTATGCATGTCCATAGGATGGGGGAAACTCCCATTAAATAATTGAATCATCGGAGAGGGATCTTTAATGACTTAGGTACTTTCAGTGGCTGGAGATGCCACGTGTGGGATCCCATCCCAGCCTTCTTTCCTGATGTCCGCCTCAGAGGAGATGAGGTGTCGGCCTGGTCCCTCCGCCATCCCCCGCTCTGCTGTGGTGAACGGGCCCTGAGACACAGGGGAAGGGCTCTGCCACTCCCTGGTGTGGAGCTCTGTGGCGTGGGGCACCTGCCTTAACATTTCCTCATCATTAAAACCTCCCTCCGTGGGGTTTGGGTGAGTGAGTGCTTTGTAAAGTGTGCCCCCGGCCCTGATGCAGGGCTCATGATCCTCACTGCCTGAGTGGTGACCTTGCCTGCCGGCTCTCTGTGTCCCCAGCGGATGACCATCAGGCCCTCATCTGGGACATCCAGCAGATGCCCCGGGCCATCGAGGACCCGATCCTGGCCTACACAGCCGAGGGGGAGATCAACAACGTGCAGTGGGCGTCTACCCAGCCTGACTGGATTGCCATCTGCTACAACAACTGCCTGGAGATACTCAGAGTGTAGTGTCAGTGGCGCTGTGCCCCGAGGCAGGGGCTCGTGCGTCTCCTGCCTCTGCCCCGCCCCAAAGTAAGAAGACGCACGTTTCCGGTGGCCAGTACGTCTGTCATTGCTTTGCACCCACTGTTAGCAGAAACTGCTCCAAAGTCCCCGGCCAGTCACCCACCGCTCGCTGTGCCGGACTCAGTGCCGCGTGGCGCCTCCTCAGCCCAGGGCTGAGTTTTAAGATTTCTCTCTCCTTTCCTCATCTCCTTTGGTTCTGCTATTAAAAATTTCTGTATATCTGTTTGTCAGCCGTCGTGTTAATGAGCTCTGTGGGCAGCGGCTATGTCTGTATTGTCTGTTGCAGAGGTCTCTGTCTGCCCAAGACAGCAGTCTGGGTCCTTGTCCATGTGAGCACTTCCTGGGAACAAACACCAGTTTGAAACTGTCTTTCTTCGTTATCTGTGTCTCTTAACAAATTTCAACTTTGTATATTTTTTAATCTATTAGGCTAATTTTTTAACGAAAAGAATTTTACTCCTTGGCCTCTTCCTTGGTTTTATCGCCCTCCCTGTTGACACCTTCCTCTCTCCTCTCCCTGCCTGGATCTGGCCCCAGGCCCCTGACCCTCTGAGCAGTTGGCCTTCTTGAATCACTGCCTGGGCGGAACATACCTGACTGGGAGTCCCAAACCTCCTCGGTGCTCTGAAGTCGGCTGGCTCTCGCCTTTCCTTGGCCTGGCTCTTGTCAAGGGCATTCTGAGCTCCAGAATAGACGTGTGACCCCTGCTCTTACCCCCTTAAGTACATACGCCTGTCCAGCCCCTCAGGACCTGCTGAGCTAGCCAGGCTGATGGGGGTGTCTGACTCCCGGGGGACGGTGGCGGGAAAGCTGAGCTTAGAGCATGTTTCTGGTCCCCCGTTTAAGAGTCTGTTTTTCTCTCCACATATAAGCCCCTGACCATTCTCTTTCATGTCTTGAACGATAGGCAGGAATGATGTATCAGCTGAACTTCAGTATCTCTGTTTAGTTCACTGTGACTGGTGGTACGTTGGCCACTCTCCCGATAGAGAGAAAGCCCTCCTTGGCAGGCACACAGTCTGAGCATCCATCCCAAACAAGATCTCCTCTAGAGTGTGGGAGACAGTCAGCTCTTGCAGAGGATGGACTCAGGCTGGGGTGATCCCAGGCCATCGATTAAACAGAGAGCAGGAGAAGCTTCAGAGACCCAGGGCTAGCCATTTCAGAGCCCCACGAACCCATCAGCCACCTTGCCTTGAGTTTCAGTTCTGAGCAGTATTGGACATGGAGGCGGTGGGTGTCTGTTTCCGTTAGATGAATGAGTTCCAGGGAGAGGTCTTGTGTGTGACTCTGGTGGTAGGCGAGTCCTTGGGCAGGCAGAGTTTGGGACATGCCCAGAGTCTGGGGGGAGTTTGGTTTGCTGCGCTCTGCCAAGTGCCTGAAGGTTTCTGAGACCCTCTGAGTTGAGCAACTGGGAGTAGAGAGAAGCAGACCTTGACTCCGATAATCTTGTCCACTTGGGCTCTCACCTGCTCCTGAGAAACAAAGCAGTTAGCTTTGTGTTTCTGGGCCCTTAACATCTCTTGGTTGAGTCTCCCTTTTCAGAAGCAGATGGATTGGTATCCCTAAAGTCATAGCTCTTTGCTTTCATACATGGGGGCTTTTCCCAAAGAAAAAGCCTCTTTTTTTCTTTTCAGTCAGGGTATTTCCCCTCCTGTCTTTATTCTTACTTCTGATTTTGGGGCTCTCCAACTGGCTGTCCGCTTGGCCAACCCTCCTGCGTTTACCGCCACCTTTGCCCTGCATCATTTTTGGACATGTGACACGAACCAGTTCTTGGTCAGAACCCTCCTCTGCTTGTTATTGTGTTTGATGGTTCCAGGGTCCTTCCCTCAAGGGTAGCAAGGCTAAGTTGAATGTCGCTGGCTCTGGGAGGCCGTCATTTCCTTCCTGTGGAAAGGGTCTTGAAATGGAGTCTAGTGGGAGAGGTCGTTCTAGGGACAGGGCTTAACTCCACTGAGTTCTGAGTTAAGATCCCTTCCCTGATCTGCACTTTTGTGGTCTGAGTGGTGAGGAGATTTGTCACCTGGAACTTGAAAGCAACCTGGAGAGAAAAGTTAGTTACTAGAAATGAGGATATTTTGGACAAAGTTGCTATTTACTGTGGAAACCAACAACTTTTGATTTTTTTTTTTTCCCTTTGCCCTGTGGACTCTCAGCCCTGTCACCCTCCTTAGGCCCTGTGGTGTGGTCCTCTTCTTCCCAACATCCCACCTGGGCCCAGGTGAGACTCCGAAGCTCTCCTGGGGGGAGAGAGACACATGCATGCACGCATGCACATGCACACGCACACACGCAGTAGCTGGGATGCTAGAATTTTGAAGCCTCCCTCTCCCTCCCTTCATGCTTTGAACCAGATGGCCTCAGGACTGAGGAGGGGATTTCTCTAGTCTCAGGATTTAGAAAGCCTCTTAGTCAGCCACGCTCTGGGAAGCAGAGATCTGCTGTAGTTTCAAAAGCAAGTGTTGGTTTAATTTATTTAGGTTCTCAGATTGCCAGCTGGAGAGAAGAGGTGGGAGGTGCTGCCTCTGTCCTCCTTGAACGTGAGAAGAGCCCTGGGAAGGCTGCGCTGGCACCTCTGGGCTCTGGCCCTCCCGGCTGTTGCCCTTTGACCTGCTCTTGGCCTCCTGAGCCATAGCCACCTTTGTTTTCCTTGTCCTCCCTGAGGGGAGGCAGGTGCTGAATACGTCAGGCTTCAGGCTCCCCGTCAGAGAGCTGGTGAGTGGGTCCAAGTCTTTGGAAAGCTTGAATGTTTACACCCAGGAGAGTCGGAAGCCTCTCTTTACAGGAAGGAACCAGGTGTAAGATGAGCACTTGAAGAGAGAAGATGTTTGATGATCAGGGGAGAATCTCTTATCAGAACCAAGATCGGCTCTCAGAGAACTGATTAAGATTTGAGAAGAAACAGAAAAAAACCTGAGACTCCAAGAAATTTTTGATGACAGGTGTGGCTGAAACTTCCGGAGGTGATTGAGGATGGGGGGTGGGGTGGGGGAATCAGTGATGGTGAAGGAGAAAATATTCGGGGGTGGTCCAGGTCTGAGGTGAGGAAGCGGGCAGGCTGTCATGTGGCTGTGGGTGAGACTGTTCTCGGGCTGTGTCAACCTTCCAGGACCGTTCAGTGGTGTCTGTGATGCTGGGGACAGGGTGGCAGAAGGAACCAGCCCTTTCTGCTGCAGTTTGGCCCTGCTGTTGTTTGGTGGCAGAAATCTGCAGGAGTTGAGAGCCCCTCGGTCCTTCCAGACCATGGCTCTTCTTGGTTGTAGGTTTGTAGACAGCAGAAGCGCAGGTTGCAAAGTCATGCCGACTCCCCACCCCCCTGTTCTCTTTCTCTTCCTCTTCCCTCCCCACCCCTTGCCCCTGTAGAGCTCTCTTCCTGCTGCAGCCTGGGCCTTGAATTCCCAGCCTGCGGCATGTAGGAGCTGCAGTGTGCCAGCCGTGGGAGGCCCACCTAGTACCTTCCCTCCACCATCCCCAGCTCCCTTGACTGCCCAGCTGGGGGGAGGGAGACCATTACAGCAGAAGCCCCAGAGCAGACTCTGCCCTTTCCTGTCTGCGCCCTGGGCTCAGCAAGGAAGGTCATGCTGGTCACTTCAGTTGGGTTTTCCCTGGGAGGAGAGCTGAGCTGAGCAGTCAACTGTGACCGCTGGGCCAGGCTTTCCAAGAAGGGTCGTCCCTACACTGGCTGGGCCAGCCACTCAGTGTTGCGGAGCCCCGCCCTCTTTTCCCACCGTGTTATTGCTGCTAATGGTCAAGGTCAAATACATGGCCACATGGAATGGGCCAGGTCCTCTCAGGCTCCTTTGTGGATGTGATTTTTTTTTTTAAAGAATGGAAACATGCAGGTGCCTTCCCGAGAGTCTTGGACTGGTGTCTCCAACCAGAAACAGATAAGCTAATCAGAGTGTGAACTCAAGAGGAGGGATGTCAGTGGTCCGTGTAACAGCTGGAAAACGTCCACGTACCGGCCTTTAGGACAACCCAGGGGATCAGAACTGGGGATCGCTGCTCTTTAAAAGAACGTTCTCACCTTGGGTTGATAATGCAGTGTGTTATGAAACTTGTGGAGCTAAAGCTTGGACTTGCTGGAGTCGAAGATGGATCATTTGATGTGGTTCCTGTGTATGTGATGACCCCTGTCAGTGACCTTCCAGCCTTCCTACCCCAAGCGTGAATTTGTAGCATGATTGTACAAATCTCTCTGTAGAAAATGGAGGTTTCTTGTTCTCTGAAGTGTTAAGCTCTAGCCAATCAGTTTCTGTCCCCTTTAGCCTAGTGTGTCTGAACTTAATTTCTTGCTATGTATTTAAACTTTTCCTCTGTATCATAGGTTTTGTGGCATCCCACGGTCAGGTGGAGAGGAAGCTGCCCCTTACAGAACTGTACTGTAACCATTTTTTAAAGAAACATTATTTTCACAGGACTGATTATACACAGGGCTTGTAAAAAAATTTTTAACACTGTGCTGTGAAATCACGATGGTAAATCTCCATTGAAGGCTACTTCAAAGGCACCTGAAAGTGGAGTGTTATATCTATGACTTTATTTCTTGCTTCCTAAGTATATTAAACCTAATTTTCACCCTTTCATTCTGTTTCAGCCTCCTGTATAAGAAGTACCGTATTTTCTGCCCATCATACTTTGTAATAAAACTTGAACATGTATAGATTGACTGAATTTCTTCTTGTGATAAATTCAGTTCTTCCCATTCTGCCATGGTGGTCATGTTCCAGAGACACAGGCCCGGGGATTAGACTCCATCTCAGCCCACCACACTGTCTGATGGCCTAACTCATCACCTGTAACAAAACACAGAGCACCTACTGCCTTCCAGGGGTTGCTTGCAGGGGACCGGAAGAGACATCCATGTAAACAAACACTGGCCATGTCCCATGCAGTGATTCAGGGTCAGGGTTCCTGGTGGCCCTGCGGAGGAGAGGATCACCTGTGCCTGGGTGGGAGTCACAGGGGATCAGAGAAAACTTCATGAGACAAAGTTGCTTGAACTGGGGTTTGAAGACTGAGTTGGAGTTTTCTGGGTATAGAGAAAGGCACTTAAGGCAGAGAGAACATCCATGTACAGATCTAGAGAGGGTAGATTTCTCCCTCAGGCCAGTGGTTAAGACCTCACCTCCCTACCATTACACGCCAGTCAGGATGGTTGCTATTCAAAAGTCTACAAGCAATAAATGCTGGAGAGGGTGTGGAGAAAAGGGAACCCTCTTACACTGTTGGTGGGAATGCAAACTAGTACAGCCGCTATGGAGAACGGTGTGGAGATTTCTTAAAAAACTGGAAATAGAACTGCCATATGACCCAGCAATCCCGCTTCTGGGCACACACACCAAGGAAACCAGATCTGAAAGAGACATGTGCATCTCAATGTTCATCGCAGCACTTTTTATAATAGCCAGGACATGGTAGCAACCTAGATGCCCATCAGCAGACGAATGGATAAGGAAGCTGTGGTATATATACACTATGGAATATTACTCAGCCATTAAAAAGAATTCATTTGAATCAGTTCTAATGAGATGGATGAAACTGGAGCCCATTATACAGAGTGAAGTAAGCCAGAAAGATAAAGACCATTACAGTATACTAACACATATATATGGAATTTAGAAAGATGGTAATGATAACCCTATATGCAAAACAGAAAAAGAGACACAGATGTACAGAACAGACTTTTGGACTCTGTGGGAGAAGGCGAGGGTGGGATGTTTCGAGAGAACAGCATCGAAACATGTATATTATCTAGGGTGAAACAGATCACCAGCCCAGGTTGGATGCATGAGACAAGTGCTCGGGCCTGGTGCACTGGGAAGACCCAGAGGAATTGGGTGGAGAGGGACGTGGGAGGGGGGATCGGGATGGGGAATACATGTAAATCCATGGCTGATTCATATCAATGGATGACAAAAACCACTACAATATTGTAAAGTAATTAGCCTCCAACTAATAAAAATAAATGGGGGAAAAAAAAAAAGACCTCACCTCCCAATGCAGAGGATGCGGGTTCAGGGTTCAGTCCCTATTCGGGGAGCTAAGTTCCCGCATGCCTCCTGGCCAAAGAAAACAAAACATGACCCAGAAGCAATATTGTAGCAAATTCAAAAAGACTTTAAAAACTGTCTACATCACCTGGAGAAGGAAATGGCAACCCACTCCAGTATTCTTGCCTGGAAAAGTCCATGGACAGAGGAGTCTGGCGGGCTGAAGTCCATGGGATTACATGACAGCATATGTGCACGAGGGTGGAGGGAGAAGGGTTGGTGGCAATAAAGTGGTAGAACTAAAAAAAAATAAAAATTAAATAAAAACTGTCTACATCAAAAAAAATTTGCAGTTGCTGGAGGGAAGGGATGGTTAGGGAATTTGAGATAGTCATGTACACACTGCTGTGTTTAAAATGGGTAACCAACAAGGACCTATCATAGAGCACATGGAACTCTGCCCAATGTTAGGTGGCAGCCTGGATGGGAGAAGGGTTTGGGGGAGAGTGGATACATGTATCCACATACATCTGTATGACTCAGTCCCTTCACTGTACATCTGCAACTATCACATTATTATTAATCGGCTATACCTCAATACAAAATAAAAAATTCAAAAAATAAAAACCTAAAAAGGCAATGTTAAGGTACAGACATGTATGAAGGGTTATGTGAAAATGCAGAGGAGGGCAGCTAAGCCCAAATGGAGAATTTGGAGAGTTTTCCTCTGGCAGGAAATGATGCCTGAGCTATCAATCTTGAAGGAAAGACAAAAACTAGCCAGAAGTGAGGTTGAACAGCAAAGACAGGTTTGTGCTTAATACAAGAACTGGGAGAAACAATCTGACATTTCTACATAAACTGCAAAGTACAGGGAAGAGAGGGCCCAGCCCCAAAGAGCTTCAATAAAAAGAGAAATAGAACAATTCATAAATGTACTATGGGCTTCCCTGAGAGCTCAGTTGGTAAGGAATCCACCTGCAATGCAGGAGACCCTGGTTTGATTCCTCGGGCTGGAAGTTCCTCTGGAGAAGGGATAGGCTACCCATTCTAGTATTCTTGGGCTTCCCTTGTGGCTCAGCTGGTAAAGAATCTGCCTGCAGTGTGGGAGACCTGGGTTCGATCCCTGGGTTGGCAAGATCCCCTGGAAAAAGGAAATGCTACCCACTCCAGTATTCTGGCCTGGAGAATTCCATGGACTGTATAGTCCATGGGGTAGCAAAGAGTCAGACACAACTGAGTGACTTTCACTTTCACATAAATATACTATTAATTAGAGCTAATAACTCAAGATCACTTTACCTGAGGTGGTGACAGCTGAACTGGGTCTTGAAGCATGATAAAGATCTTACCAACAAGATAGTGACGTCACTCCAAGCAGAAAGGAGCAAAGAAGTGATAACTTCTATTCAGAGTACAGTGAGTAATTCCCTCCAACTTGACTCTAGTGTCGGGACACGAGACCAGAAAAATGAGTAGATCTGAGTTTATGGAGATTTTCTATAATAATAACAAAGTCTATACCTGTGTATTTTATCCATTATCCCATTTAATCCTAGCAAGCCTATTCTGGCCTCCCTGATGACTCAGTGGTAAAGAATCTGCCAGCCAAATGCAGGAAACTTGGGTTCCATTCCTGGGTAGGGAAGATCCCCTGAAGAAAGTAATGGCAGCCTTCTATAATATTCTTGCCTGGGAAATCCCATGGACAGAGGACCCTGGCGGGCTATATATAGTCCTCGCGGTGGCAAAAGAGTCAGACACAAACTTGAGACTAAACAATAACAAGGCTATTTACAGGTCAGGAAATTGAAATAAAGGAGCTTGCCCAAGGTTACACTAGTAATAAAACAACCGGGGTTTGAACCCACCAGTTCAAACCAGAGGCCATAAGCTTAAGCTGTTTAACACACCAGATCCTTTGGATTTAACCTCACCAGCTTGGGGGCCACTGGGAAGTTGTTCACAGTTGCTGGCTTCGTTTCTTCTATACCTTCTCTTCCTAATGGCCTCGGTTTTTCCTTCTGGAAGAGCAGAGGGAAAACACAGAGGGGAATTTGGTTCTTGAAAATTCTGATTTTTCTCCCTCTCCAGGATGGCAAGCGTCAGTTACTTGTAGGGACTTTGTCAGTATGGTCATCTCTGCTATTTGCATAAGACTTTATTACTTTAAGGGCTTCCCTGGTGGCTCAGATGGTAAAGAATCCTTCTGCAGTGCAGGAGACCCAGGTTTGATCCCTGGGTCGGGAAGATCTCCCTGGAGAAGAGAATGGCCACCCACTCCAGTATTCTTGCCTGGGAAATCCCATGGACAGAGGACCCTGGTGGGCTGTAGTCCATAGGGTCGCAAAGAGTCGGACATGACTGAGCTATTAACACTTTCACTTTATTACTTTAAAGCTCTAAGGGCTTACTTTGCGTTTTCAACCCTCCTACGTTGGCAAAGCAAGTAGTAGCATCCTTAATTACAGATAGTGAAGAGGAAGTTCAGAGAGACTAAATGACTGGGCAGATCACATCTCTGCCGACGATTTCCTTACCTGTAAAGTGAAGTGACTGAACTATCTATCTCTTTGCAACTACAATACATTTATCATTCTAGACCTGCTCAGAGTTGGGAAGCCATTCTGAAGCATAATCAGTTTCATAACTCAGATACATCTCTAGTAGAGACGTAAAGTCCGGCGTTCCCCAGGCAACCGAAGGGATTGAGCACAGGGTTGCCTCACGTAGGTCTGGGGTCTGCTCAGCGGCTACAGAAAAGCACGTACCAAGCGGCGGAACGGCTTTTGCGGGCGGTGGGGACGCGTTTTTGGAACGGACCAGGGAAAGGAAGTGTGTTACACCATCGATTGTACCCACTCCCGGCTGCTGCGGGGACGGTGCGGCGTCCTTGGCGTTCCGGCTGTCCTGGGCAGGCCTGAGCCTTAGGGTCTCCGGTGGCGGGCAAAGGAGGCTACAGGCTGTGGACGGGCTCGTTTCGGTGGCAGACTGGGAGGGTTGACCTTGGCCCAGGGTCGGAACCGATGGCGGCTCGGGCTGTTATCAGCTTGAGCAGCGCTGCTGCCCAGTGCTTGTGGGCGCGAGGCCCCGGGCTCCGAGTGGCTCTTAAGCGCTCCGCCCTGGCCTTCCAGCCTCAGCCCCCATGCTGCAGCGCCGCTGGGGGCCGGACGCTGCACCTCACGGCCGAAGTCCCCGCGGGGCACAACAAGTGGTCCAAAGTCCGGCACATCAAGGGTCCCAAAGACGCAGAAAGGAGTCGCATCTTCTCCAAGCTCAGCTTGAGCATTCGCCTAGCGGTTAAAGGTGAGAACCTGGCGGTCACCCACCGCTGGCAGCTACCACCCTCACTGTGCCCACGCCCTCACTTGTCTCCCAACCCCCTGTCCCCGGCCTTTCATTTCAAATAAACTGAAAAGTCTTTCCCAAAATACTTACCCAGCTTTCATTCAAACATCGGATAAAGTGTCCTAAATGAACCGAAATCTAAGCGGTGACTTGTCTCTCTTGGCTGATGGAGGGGAGGGGAAGGCGTGGATGTCCCTTTTTTTCTCTCTCATGTCTTATTGAGATGTCTCTGCTTACTCTTTTCTATCTCAGAAGGAGGCCCCAACCCTGAGCTCAACAGCAACCTGGCCAGCATCCTAGAGGTGTGTCGCAGCAAGCACATGCCCAAGTCAACAATTGAGGCAGCACTGAAAATGGAGGTGTGTCCTCGGTTTGACCTTCTTGTTATTGATCACAACCCCTACCGAGTACATGTTTGGAAGGCCACCACACTTTATTTTTATTTTTTTTCACCACACTTTAAATTATCAGAGAAGCAGTGTTGTTGACACCCTCAACTTAGAGCCTTTTGGTGACTCTTGGCCATTAGTTACGGGAGCACAGTCAGGAATAGGATGTATAGATGGTGTACAGAACTGCAGCCTAAGACTATTGAGCTGAGTTGTGAGGAGCTGGGGGAAAAAGAAACGGCAGAGTATGATGTTAGGTTGAGGAAGGGTTTGTTTTTCTGATATTGATGCCTTAAAGGAGAAAAACCAGTAGAAAGAGGGAAGGTGCAGATGATAATGATGGTGGGAGGGGCTGGGATGTAGAACTCAGGTGTGGAAATTATCTTCAAGTCCAGGTGAGGAGACACCTCTTCTCTGGGATGGGTGGGAAGGATTTGAGGAAGTCGTAGTCATCTTAGTACAGTTATTGAGTGTTTACTCCAGGCCAAGCTCTTTTTATTTTTTTTCTGGCTGCATCGTGTGGCTTGTGAGATCTTAGTTCCCCAACCAGGGATGGAACCCATGCCCTCTGCAGTAGAAGCACAAGAGTAGAATCTTAATCACTAGACCACCAGGGAAGTCCGGAAGCCGAGTTCTTTGATAAAAACTTTGTATGCATAATTTCACTGAATCCTCGGAACAACCTTAAGTTGGAAACTGAGGTACAGAAAGATTAGGCGACTTGACCAAGTCACACAGAAAATGACAGACTGGGAACCGGACAGACCCCAAAGCCTGTTTTCGAACCATCCTGCACACCGCCTTCATATCAGGTGTGTGCAGATGAGGCACACACCTTTCCCCCACCTGGTGGTCCTTTATCTCCTTTGTGAAAGAGGGAGAGAGAAGTCATCAGTTGAGTGTTCCTGGGAAGACGCAGGGCAAGGGGACCGAGAGAGAGAGGTGAAGATAGGGTGCGTGGGCAAGGAGTGGACAGAGGCAGCGTGGGATGTCCCCGTGAGACTGTTCGCTGGAGCTTTTGATTGTTTGAATTTTGAGGCCATGCTGTTTGATGAGGCCCAGGTGTGTGATTTCTCTGAGCAGTTCTCAGCAGCCCAGGGGTAGACTCAGAGGGGTTTCATGCAGGATAAGGTATACGAGGGTGAGTTTTAGTAGGAGTGATGAAGGAGTGGATGTGGGATTCAGCTGGGAAGGGGAAGAACCAAAACTGGGAGATGAGTGATTGATTGTTCAGGGACAAGAGAAACAGACTGCCTTCCAAGGAAGGGGTAGGACTTCCAGTTACCTCAAATGTTGATCCCAAGAGCCTCCTCTCAGAGAGGGAGGACAGAATTAGAGTCTTAAGAGCCTAGGCTTCACTCCAGAGAGCCCATTCCATGGAGTCAACTTTGTGGTGTTTGTGGTGCCTGGGCTGGCATGGAGAAGGGAATTAGGAAACAGGAAAATGTGTTTGTGTTATCTATTGCAGAAAACCAAGGACATTTATTTGTTGTATGAAGGCCGAGGCCCCGGTGGCTCTTCTCTTCTCATTGAGGCATTATCTAACAGTAGCTCCAAGTGCCACTCGGACATCAAACACATCCTGAACAAGAATGGGTAGGTGTGTGTCTGGGGAAAGTGGAAGGGGGCAGAGTCTCTAGGTTCTGATTTTGGGTGAGGTAAGTACTGTGGTTTCTGGTGGGGTTTCAGGTTTTACACACATGTCATCCTTAGCAGAACCCACGTGGGATCGTTTGTTCTTCTTTGATGTGTCCTGTAGTGGGCAGGACCCGAAGGACAGGTGGAGAGGAGTGCTGTGTCCCATTGTCTCATGTGTCCCCAGAATGTTCAGGTCTTAAAGTATCCCACCAGCAGTGTACTCTCAGTTGGACAGGCATTGATGAGCAAAGTCTTGGCAGCCTCCAAACTCCAGTCGGGGCAGAAAATAGAGGGTTGGGGACTTCCCCTGGTGGTCCAGTGGCTAAGACTCCACGCTCCTCATGTAGGGGGCCTGGGTTCGATCCCTAGAGGAGCTAGATCCCTCATGTCACCACTAAAAGGTCCAGCATGCTGCAACTAAGACCTGGGCAGCCAAACTAATCAATCAGAATAAAACAAAGGGTTAGTGTTATGTTCAGATTATTCCCTTGCCCAGAGGTAGCTGCATCTTCTTCAAGAAGAGAGCTGCTCCATATCTATTTATACTCTGGGGGTGGGGTGGGAATGAGTGCTGGGCAGTGCTATGTGGAGGCTGAGTGTGTAAAGGCATCTGTTCTGGCCCATTTCCTCGCCTGTTAGGGGAATGATGGCCGAAGGAGCTCGCCACTCCTTTGACAGAAAGGGGGTGATTGTGGTTGGAGAGGAGGACAGAGAGAAGAAACCTGTGAACCTAGAGCGTGCCCTGGAGCTGGCAATAGAAGCAGGAGCTGAGGATGTCAAGGAGACTGAAGACGAAGAGGAAAAGAACATTTTTAAAGTGAGTAAGAAGCCTTGGTGTCTGGTGGACTGCCGAGAGGGCCCTGATAGACATGTTAAGTATCCTTCTCTCAGTCTCTTCTGTCCTGTGCCCGGGGGACAGGTGAGATAAAGAGCTCACATTTTACACAGACAGTTTATTAAGTGAATACTGGATAGGACTTCCTCTCCTGAGGACAATGAGAAGGATTCAGGGTGTTGAACACTCTGTTTCTGCCAGTGAAGACTTAAACCCAGTGACACATTTCAGGAATTCCATGCAGGTGTTTGCAAACTTCTGTCCAGCTTTGTTCTGTTATCTCCTTGCTCCTTACCGCCTGACTTTCCTTTGTCCCTAGTTTATTTGTGATGCCTCTTCACTGCATCAAGTGAGGAAGAAACTGGACTCTCTGGGCCTGTGTTCTGTGTCCTGTACATTAGAGTTCATCCCCAACACAAAGGTGCAGCTGGCTGACCCCGACCTGGAGCAGGCTGCCTATCTCATCCAGGCGCTCGGCAGCCATGACGACGTGATCCATGTCTATGACAACATTGAGTAGCCAGACTGTACGTGCCTCCAGGTGGCCTATTCTAGAGCACAAGCTTCTGCAGTGTCCCCTGGGACTCAGTTGGGTGGGGGGTGGGGGGGTGGTTCCTAGCAGGTTAGCAAGCATAGACCTGCAGCTTTGTGGTCAGCTGAATCCCTGCACATCCATGAAGCCTCTTTGTCAGTTCTGATGGTGTCTGAGCCCTCCTGGGTGAGTCCCTCACATCCTTCTCGATGAGGGAGATGTGGCCATTTAGCTGGTCAAGTTCTGATCTCAGGAATCTGGCCCTTGGGACAGTAGGTGCTCTGAAGGCCCATGTACTAGAAACTACTCTTCAGTAATAACAGTCATTATTGACCTGAATAGCTGGCTTGCTATTGTGTGACTTGAGTTTTCCTGGGTTTGTGTCCAGTTGGTGGGACCCTCTTGACTTTCTTTTAAGTCTCTAGGCTTAGTTCCACTACTCCAGTCCCAAGACTGTATTTTTTTGATTGACCATAGAAACGTGACTCCCTCCAGGTGCTTTTGTGTTCTAGTGCTGGTCTAATGGCCTAAATCTGTCATTCTTTCACATACCTAATATCAATCAAACACCTACTGTGTACCAGGAACTGTACTTACAACCTGTTCAATTGATGCCCTATGCTGGATCTGCTCTAAGACATTGGACCTCAGGGAGAAGACACAGGATCTCTCTCTCCTGGAGCTGTCTGAGGGCAATGTGAACTGCTGTGCATGCATCCTTGTTCTCTTCCTGTGGCCTCTGTATCCTTCTGCCAGAGAGCTTAAGGCTCTAGCCCAAAGGGTGCCAATGTAAGGGACTCCCAGGCCCTGCTTTGTCCAGGTCCCTCTGTGTTCTGAGTGCTTTCACTGCAGAGTGAACCTATCAGTGGGCTGCACTCAGGAAAAGAAACACCAAGCTGGTTTTGAAAGCTGCCTGATGCCCAGAATGTCCAACTCTGGCCCCTCTTAATCCCTGATGCCAGTTGGATGATGGGGCACTGGGAACTGGAAAGGAAATGAGAACAGAAAGAAGGGTGAAGAGCTGAGTCAGGAGCCTGGCCAGATGGGAAATAGGAGCCATGGTGCCTTTTGCTCCTAAGAATCACTTCTAGGTTTAGAGACACCAGGAGTGCCAACCACCTGTGCTGGAGCCTGTCAAATATGTGGGGTCTGGAGTGGCTTTTTGATCCCTGTTATTCACCTCCTTATAAGTTGGTTAAGGCAGTTCTGAGCTCAGTGTAATTTTCCTGAAGGAGCCTTAGGTAAATTAGGATGGAAAAGAACTAAAACCAAATTGGCTCTTAAATGATAGCTTCACATTCTAGCAAAAATAGATTACTAATTCCATGATGACTTCAGCTGGAGAGTGAAGCCTGCGGGAAGAAAATCAATTAAATAACCCATTATGGTGCCAAAGCATGTGCTCTTATACCTTGTTTCATAATGGTGGTACTACCTGGGATTTTTAGTTTTTATAGGAGATAACTCATCTAAATATCTGAATAGCATATCATTAAAACAGGGCAACGTAAATGCCACTTCCTAATTTATAAGATACTTAAATATTTTATTTATTCGACTTTCAAAACAAACCTATAAAATAGTCAGGTCAAGTATTTTATGCACAGATGATCTCATACCAAGCAGTTGAAAACTCCGTCTTGCGTTCATAGACCTTGATTTATAAAATAGCTCTATTTTGTGAATGTTGAATATAGACTAATTTGGAGAAATGTGATCATTTCTGATATGAGTAATCTTGTACTAAGGAAGCCTGCTCGAGAAGGGAACTTGGTTACCCATGTGGATAGTCCTCTGATCTAATAGATAGGATTTGTTACTGCAAGTTCTCCTGTAAACTGGTTTGTTTGCATCAAGACATCCTAGACAGCTCTGCACTGACCTCTGGCGGTGCCCTGCAGTCTTCCTGCAGTTAATATGGAAAAGGCAAAAATGAAAGCTTACTCAGAAAGTTCTGACTCTAGATCTGATAAAGAGATCCTTAGCTACCTAGGTTAATTAGTTAAATAGCTATTTAACTGAAAATTTAAGTGAAGATGGTATGAGCTGTTTTGCCACTAGAAATTATTTTTTAAAGACTATTTTATGTCAGAGAAAACATTTACAATATAATGTTAAATGAAAAACAAAGATTAAAAACTGTGTGTTTAGTGTGGTCCAGATTTTAAAATATTTATGATGCTGTATATGTGAAATTTTAAGAAAAGACTATAAAGAAGTATATCAGAATAGCAAAACTGATTATCTCTGGGTGGTGATATTATAACTGAGTTTTATTTTCATGTATTACATTTATTAGGGAGGCATTTTTTAGAAAGAAGAAAACTAGTCACGTTATCCTCCTCCTAAGGAGACAACATGTGAGCACCTGGGATTCAAGTGCACCTTGAAGTCAAAAGAATGGGGTCTGGTCCTGGCTTGCCTTATCTTTGGTTAGTGTCTTAACAACAAAATCATTTAGCACCTTGAGCTGGCTTGGGCTCACTTTCAAGTGTCCTTTCAGTGGGATGGAAGTATCAGTGACAGGCTTTGTCCGCAGCCTTGACTGTCAGTGGGAAACGCTCATGTAGCATGTAGCTGCTGTGCCTCTGCCAGGGGCCCCAGCTGAATCAGACTGGAACAGTGAAGGCTCTGCCTCCAGCTAACCATGGAAATTCAGTCCTGTGGCTACTTTTTTTTTTTTCTCTTGAAAACATATAACATAGATGTCATAGAGTTGTCTTGAGAACTGTTAAATAAGTTAATACATGCTAAGCACTTAAAACAGTGCCTGGCAGTAGTAAGTATTCAATATATGTTGGCCTTTTTCCCCACTAAGTATGAATGAACATTTTTTTTTAAGCATTTTTTATTTTATATTGGACTAGAGTCAATTAACAATATTGTGATAGTTTCAGGTGTACAACGAAGCAACTCAGCCATCCATATACATGTATCCTGAATGAACATTTTAAAAAATTGAAACATGACCACCCTATATGTATATCTGCTTTGTAACCTGTCCCCCACCCTCTCCTTCCCCTTCACAATATATCCTAGATGCCTTTTGGTATTGGGATGGAGAAGTCTACTTCTTTCTTATTAGTGGCATAGTATTTTATTATTATTAATTAATTTTATTTTTAATTAATGTGTCATAATTTATTTTATTTAATTAGTCTCTATCAATGGATATTTGGATTGTTTATCTTACAGAAGATGCTACAATGAATACTTTTTACCTTTGCTCTCTAGCAAAGTATTCTTCACGATAAATTTATAGAAGTGGAATTACAAAACGCAAAGCAGTTTTTCTTTAGACGTAAATGTCAATATGTAAAAATGTAAAGATGTAAAAATCTATTTACCTCCTTCCTTAACAAAGCAGAGAACCTAACTGATTGAACTGGTGATCTGAATATATTCTATGTTACCTCTGAATTAAAAGAATTTTCATCAAATCAGGTGATAGGTTTTTTGGTTTGTTTCCCTGTTTTACACCAAATTCATTGAGCTATCCCTTCAGAGAATTTCAGTTCAGTTCAGTCGCTCAGTCGTGTCCAACTCTGCGACCCCATGAAGCTCAGCACTCCAGGCCTCCCTGTCCATCACCAACTCCATCACCAGAGTTTACTCAAACTCATGCCCATCGAGTCGGTGATGCCATCCAGCCATCTCATCCTCTCTCATCCCCTTCTCCTCCTTCCCCCAATCCCTCCCAGCATCAGGGTCTTTTCCAATGAGTCAACTCTTCGCATGAGGTGGCCAAAGTACTGGAGTTTCAGCTTCAGCATCAGTCCTTCCAATGAATACCCAGGACTGATCTCCTTTAGGATGGTCTGGTTGGATCTCCTTGCAGTCCAAGGGACTCTCAAGAGTCTTCTCCAACACCACAGTTCAAAAGCATCAATTTTTTGGTGCTCAGCTTTCTTCAGAGAATTTATTCATTGGTATTTGTTGTTCCCTGTCATGTGTCCTGTGCTCTTGAAAAATGAAAAGGAATGTGTGCAGCTGGTGTGTGAGTGACTGCTTAATGGGACCAGTACCCTGAGGCCCTGAGCTCTAGGGTTAGGTCATGAATCTTGAGGTCAGGGATGACTCAGGTGCTTAAACAGAAGCACCTACTCAGTGTAAAACTAGGGTGATAGACCTGAGAAGGCCTGGCCCAGCTGGGAGGCTTCACATGGGGAAGATGAAGGGGGAGGAGAGAAACAACATAGAAAGGGAAGATAAAATACAGAACTAAAGGAAATAACAACAGTTAGCAACATCCCCATCAGAGGTTCACTTATTCATTCAACAAATATTTGTTTTTTGAATGTGCCATGAAAGATGGTAGGCCATCTTTTTTGAATGACACAGCTTCTAATTTTTTTTTTTTTTTTAAGAGGATAGTACACTCCTGAGACATGGGAACGGGCCAACCCCGAAGGAGAGGCCCAACTTCTGTCTATGCTTACTTTCTTAAAGGCAGTTACAGTAGAGTAAGACAAGTGTTTGATGAATAAAGTACTAGGTGCTCTGGTGCCCAGATTTAGGGCTTTCTGCCTGGAAAGGCTTCCTGAAGGGAGCAGTGTTTAGGCTTACTTCTTCCCTGAAAGAATGAGGGTGGGGGCAAGAATGGAGGAGAGGAGTGTTCAAGATAGTGAATATGCAAAGGTTAGAGGCAAGAGAGGGTCATATTTGAGGAACTACCAGTGGTAGTTCAGAACAGAGAATTTGAATGATGGGGTTGTTGGAGGTGGGAAATGGAAAAACTTACGGTTGGAGAAGGAATGGTTTCAGGTCCTTCTTAACTACATTGATGTATTCGACTTTTCCTAAGGGTGATGGGGACTGTAAAATCTTTCAGGAGATCATGGCAGGATCAGGGATCCATTTTAAAAGGTCACCCTGTGATGGGAGTGATCTTGAGAAGCTGTTACACTAAATACTCCAAGTAATAGACTTGGGAGGTTTGAACTAGGATGGTGGAGCTAGGACAGGGAGAGGAGTGGACAGATTGGAGACATGGTCAGGATTAGCTGTGGGGGAAGGGAAATGGAGAGGACGATCTCTTCAAGTTTGATAACTCAAAAGCATCCAAGTTGGGGAACCTATGATGGAGAGAGCAAATGAGAACCACGGAGGAAAACATTTGGACCTGTGGAATTTGAAGTACTTGCAGAATACTCAGTGGGTGATGCCTCTGAAGTTCAGAAGAGAGCCCAGTAGGATGGCCGCAGCGTGGGGATGTTTGAGATGGCTGGTTCAGTGACAGATAATGGAAATGGAGTCCTCAAAAAAAGCAGTTGCTAGGAATGTAGAGGAAAAATCAGGAGACTCTTTCCAGCTAAAGACTTACGTTGCTGTATTGCATGTGCTACTATGTGCGAGGCACTGTTCTAAGTGTTGGTGACAGGGCAGTGAACGGGACATAGTCCCTGCTTCTACATGGCTTATGTTCATTGCAGTCGGGGGAAACAGTGTATAATTTCAGGCTCTACGAAGAAAAATAAGGCAGCATATGGAAATATAAAATGTTGGAGGGGAGAGGGCCTATTTTGGTTGGTGTGGTTAGGCACTTTTGAGAGTTGACATTTGAGCAGACCTGAATGAAATGGAGGAATTAGCTGTGGGAAGAGCATTCTAGGTGAAACGAAGGGCAAGGGCAAAGGTCCTGAGCCTGGTAAGCTCGAAGTGTGGAAAGAAGGCCAGTGTAGCTGGAGTGATTGAGGGAGCTGGAGAGGTGAGGTGGGAGAGGATGGCGGGGGCCAACTCCTGTTGGGCCCGGATGGCCATGACAGAGTTTGAGTCTATTCTGTGTGTTGATGGGAAGCCCTCAGAGGGTTGAGAGCAGGGAGTGACATGATGTTAATTACATTTTACAAGGATCACTTTGGCTGCTGTGTGGAGCATCGTTTGTTAGGTGGTCGCAGAGGAAACAGGAAACCAGTTAGGAGGCCAGGGCAGTCACCCAGTACGTAGGGTGGTGGCTTGCACCAGGGTGGAAGTGGTGAGAAGTAGTTGGATTCAGATACATTTTTAAAGGAAAGCTGAAAAGACTTGCTTGATGATTGGATAGAGGAATGTTAGAGAAAGAGTGAAATGAAGGAAGATGCTTCCTAGTTGTGTATTTTTACGACTGGGAAAACAGAGGAGCAAGGTTTTGTGGGGAAGGGGGAAGAATCAAGAATTCAGTGTAAAACATGTTAAACTGGAGTTATATTTTAGACATTCCAAGAGATGCTGCTGAATACAGGCAAATATTCCTGAATCTAAGAGGTGGATTTAAAGAAAAAGGTCTAAAGTAATTCTTAAGAGATTTGATACCCGAGGCAAAGCCACCACTAAAGGTTCTTAGTTGACAGTTGAAAGCGACATCAGAGGAAGATGTTTTTGGCGTCTGATTTATCTTACACTGAAGGAAGGGATCCTGAGGAAGGGAGCCCGGATTGTGGCGGCCTTGGAATCTGAAGATGGAGGTGTATAACATGCTGAACAGTGGAGGCTGGGAAAATTAATTATGGTCATCTCTATTTTGAAATGTCATGCAGTCAAGCGCAATTGTTTTGGGACAATATTAAGTGGCACGGGAAAACAGGATAAAATTTAAGCACACTACAAAACAATATGAAGCCGTTTTTATCAAGCGCTGTATATTTATGTAGGAAAGAGACAAAATATCTCTGGGGTGAAATTTTTATTTTTTTCAATTTTAATACACAGAGCTTGTGTTGCTTTTACGACCAGAAAAAATGTTTTCTTCCCGAAAGAACCTCACTTAATGGTTTCGGCCCTGGCAAGCAGATTCCTAGGACCCACTTCCCGGCATTACCCCAGCCCCTTGGGGTGTGTGGCTGTTGAGACCCAGGAAAGGCAGGCAGTGGTAAACCGCTCCTGCCTCCCGGCAAGCGCAGCCTCTGGACCGGAGGACTTGCTTGGGGGTCCGGCGGCAGAGGTGGCCACACGCCGGGAAACGCTCAGAGCCAGAACCCTCCCTGCTTATTACGCGCTGGTGTGGGGACACGGAGGGGCAGGACGTCAGCCTCAGGAACCGCGGGGAGCTGGAAGGGCGGGAGGCAATGGGGCCCCTCCAAACGTCTTCCTAAACTCCAGCCCCGAAGTAGCCGGCGGGGAACCGCGCCAGCCCGCGCGCCAGCCGAGACTTGGGTGACTGACAGGAGGTGGGAATGTGGGCGGAGCCTCAAGCGCGAGCTGTGATTGGAAAAACCCACACCTCCCGGGGAGAGAGGGCGGGCAAGTCTGCGAGGGATGCGCAGAGGAGGGTGCTCAGAGGAAGGTGCTACGTGATTGGCTAGCAGCAGAGTGAACCGGGAGCTGTTCCGATGATTGGCAGAGGGTAGACAACCCTCCGAAACTGCTTTGGCTTCGCCTATTCGCATCCTGCGAGAGTAGGCGGGATTGGTTCATCGAGGGGTGCCGTTGATTAGCTGGCGGCTGAGAGTTAGGGTGTTGGAGAGAGGTGGGGAGGAGGGGCGGTGGGGGGCAGCGATTTACTCCTTGTTATTGGCTGGTGAAGTGAGTGAGGGGTGGCACTAAGGGCCAGCGGCTGGCTAGGATTGGCGGGTACTGGGATGACTGACAGACAGGGGGGCGAGCTGCGCGACCAGCGGTTTGTTTTTCGGAGCGTTCCTGAGGTGGAGAACGGCGGCCGGACGGAACGACTTCGGGACTGAGGGACTGGCGGTCGGGCGGGCCGAGCGGCGCCGCCGAGGCCGGGCTGGGCCGAGCCGAGGAGCTCCGGGGATGTAGCGGGCCACCCTGCCCATGCCACAGCGCCCGGCTGCGGGCGGAGCCGGAGCCGGAGCCTGGGGAGGCGGCGGGGGCCCGGAGCACAGCCCGCGCCCCCCGCGCGGAGCCAGGCCCGCTGCCGTCCCCGCCGCCCGGGCCCCCGGCATGCAGCTCCGGCTGCGGAGGTGACACTCGGGCCGGAGCCGCCGCCGCCGCCATCGCCACCATGGGTGAGTGTCGCCACCGCCCCGGCCTGTGCCCGCGCTGCTTCGCGTCGCCCCGCCCCGGGCTGAGGGGAGGAGGACCCTGGGCCGCCGCCTGACAGGCATGGACAGCCCGCCCGGCCGGGGCTGCGGACTGCCGGCGCCCGCCCGCCCGCCCGCCCCGCTCGCGGCTTAGCGGCTCCGCGGCCCGGGCAGGGGTTCTGGCTCCCCTGGCCTTCAAGGGCGGCCCCGAGCCGCTGAGCCCACTCGGCCGCCTCTTTCCGGGCCGCGAGGCCAGCACATCCCGAGGAAGCGGCGGCGGGTCGAGGGCCCGTGCTCGGCGGAGCTAGGCGCTCCGGGCCGAGCGAGCGGGACCCCGAGCCCGAGGGCGGGGGAGCGCGAGCGCAGTGTGGGGCCCGGGCTGGAGGCTGGTGCAGGCCCAGCTCTGTTGTGTCTTTTCCTTGATTTGCTTTTTTTTCCTGCCTGTGTCATTTCCTTCCCTTTGCTCACACAGACCGGCCTGCGAGAGCTCCCGGGGCTTGCTCTCGAGCCCTGTGCGCGCCCCAGAGCAGGGGGGAGGGCGTGCGGGGAGACGGGCTGGGAGGCGATTAAAATGGCAATCACTGTTATCAACCGCGCGGTTGAGAAATGCGAGCTGCTCGCAGATTGCTGGAGTTTAGGAATCGGCTGCCAGTGATAATACACATCCTACTTTTTGAAAAATCTCCTTGCAGTGTTTTAAATCCATTAGTTTAATCTAGCGGTCTCCCTGAAATTATGTAACTTTTGAAAGAGAGAAGCATTCACTACACAAAAGAATCTCTGTGAAATCATTTCCTTTTTAATCGATAGTTGCAATTTCTGTTGTGAAGATGTAGTCTAAGGAACGCTTTTAATGTCTTCCACACGCAGCATTTGAACTGAATTATATATTTCATGTCCTTTGTGGTAATTTAGCAGACAACTATTGGACTACATTAAGTAGCAATAACATGTTCGATGTATACTGTGCTTCTCTTACTGGATCAGTTATTTTGATACGGTTGTCTGCAGTGGCAAGTTTTGCGAAGTATTTGGTATTGTCCTAATTAATCAAGGGGTAAACTTCAGTAAAGGGATCATTCGCACAGCCACTGATTCCATCTGCGAAGAGGGAACATTAATGTTTGCTTTGCCCTATGGCAAGGTCAAGTCGTTTTTGTAGGAGGTTAAGTTTGCTGTGTCACATTGGGCAGTTAATCTTTTGTGGCCCATCTTTACACTCTGGCTTTGAATGAATCGCCTTGTTCTGTTCCATGCTGCCCCTCTACAGTAAGGAGTGGGTTCCTTCATTTATTGGGCTGTTTCCTTCCCATGCTTTATTTCAGAAGTGCTTGCTTTTCTGGGCAAAGTCTGTGACAGTAAGCAGAAAAGGAACTCAGTGAGGCCTGGTATTTATTGAATAAATACTTAATTCAACAAGTACTCGTTGAGCATTTACTGTAAATGGGGAACATAATTCTTCTCGTCCTCCCCAGGTTTCACACATTTATCTTGTGCTCTGGAATTTGATGATCACACTAAATCTTTGAATTGATTTGTGAACCTACATTTGTGATAATTTTTCTAATCAATCTTTCCTTTTTATCCTGTGGGGACAGGCTTAAATCCCAAAGGGGAGTGTGAATACTCGAGGGTGTGCAGACCTCCTATTTTCCACTTTCTCGACTGCTAAATTAATGTCCAGGTGTGTTGACTACATTTCGTGCCTAATGATAAAATAGAGGTCAGCCTGTTTTCGCATTTCAAGATCATTTCAAAAAGTTTAAATGTGTGAGTATATGGAGAGACAATGATGGGGAGGAAAGGAACTATGTAGATAGGGTCCAGAGCCCCAAAGGAAAAAGGACCCAAAACTCAATATCTTCTCATTTGTTCCCATGTCAGTTTTTACATGAAGAAAGTGAGACAGAGGGGAAAATTAACTTGCCTGGTGGCTGCAGTATATTAATCGGCAGACAAGCTTATTTAAGAACCCCTGCCTGGCTTTCTTCAGCACTCTTCCCTCATACCATTCTCACTTTCTTTTAAGTAGATGACCTTGACGTGCGCTTAGAACTAGTACTGGATTCTCTTAGAACCTGACCTTCAGTTTGCTTTGTATAGGGCTCAGCAAGGGTGTCTGTACAAACATATACACACGGAGTCTCTCTCCTAAGTACTCGTTTCCATTTTGGTAACATAAATGATGAAAAGTCAGATTCCCAGGTTAGCATGCGTTAGTTGATGTATGTAGTCCTAAATAAGTTCAAGGGGTAATAAGGGAGAAACATAGACTTGTTAATATTTTTATTATACTTGTTAAACTCCAGCCCAGTGAGGAAAGGACTAAAACTAATTTGAGTCCTTGGCTTTCAGGTTCCTTGGTTAACAGTCATATTTTCCTGAGCTGTTCTAAGCCCCAGACTTGACAGCTTGGGTTGGTAATGAAAACAGGTCAGATTTTATATTGGCAGTTAGCCCCAGTAACTTTCTAGTGGAAATTACACTTATCCTTGTAAATAATAGGAAATACTCTTTTTGTTTGTTTTTGGCCTTTTTTTTTTTTTTGGCTTTGATATTATGTGGTTATAAAAAACTGGAAATTAACTGGTCGTTTTTTCTTGGTCACACCAAAATTCCCTCCTGGTTTTAGTAATTATAGTGGCAAATGCTGCTAATTACACCTAAGATTAATTTGCTAGTGCTTACTTGGGACATGCTCTATAAATGCAATCTAAAATTTGGTGGGAAGTATTAACTGAAAAATATGTAACAACTTGGAAACATTACAGGAACGGGAACTGAGTGTAGGATTTAGGATGGTGTGGTTCTGGTTTGATAACTTGGTTTGAAGTCAGAATTGTTTCAAGGCTGTTGGAAGCTCCCAGTTAGACCAATCTCAGTTCAGTTTGGCTAGAATCTGACTGCCTGTGTAGATCTAAATAGTTGGCAACTGTTTTTTAATTGAAATTGGGATCGTAGATTAATGACTCAACATGGCTATGTCACAGCTAGACTTCTGATGTTTTACAAAATTATGGTTGGCTTTAAAACTGAATTTTAGGCATTTATAAAAAGTAAGTATCAGTCCAACTGAGCATGATTTAGTGAAATACATAGAGGATAAGAAGCAGTTTTCTTGGTTCTATCTAAGCTATCCATTTTTCCTTTGCCCCTTTTATTGAACATCTCTTCTGTGTCAGATACAGTACATGTCCCTGCACATGTATTTATCCTGTATTTAAGAAGTTATAGTCAGGTAAGGTGAACCAGAAACAGTAAACAAATAAGCGGTGTTATAGATACCTTGTCAAAACTGTAAAGATACATTGGATGGAGAGATCAATTCTGTAAGTTTTGAGATTGACATACATTATCTATAGTCCTCAGGCCACAAAGCTTAATTTCATTAACTTAAAATAAAATATGATGGTGATATATGGATTCGTATGAGGAAGCAATAGCTTACTTTGTAATATGTATTTTTAAATTTTGAGTTATCAACTAATACTGAAGGACTGTTATATCACAGAAACAGAAAAATAAACCCCAGAATTTGACTTTGCGACCTAGCAAAGTTTTCAACCAGGGCCTTGAAGGAAAAAGGAAAAATGTTTGCTGTGAATTGAGGATCAGACCTTTTTGCTTATACTTATTATACTAGGAGATGATGTTTGCCCAGATGGACAGGGTGGAGGAGAACCATGCTGTAACATGTCATGGACAGTAAGGTAGTAAAATCAGACTCACAGACACTGAAGCACAGGATCTCCTGATTGAGCAGTGTGATCAGATGATCTGACAAAAGTTGGGTAGAGTAGAGCATTGTCAAGATGAAGAAATCATTGAAATGAAAACAGAGATTAAATTTGGGAGTTGTATGTATGGGAAAAAGAGTGTCTGGCATCATGCAGGACAACAGTGTTTATCCAACAACATGTTGCTTCTGGAAACTTTTCTGGGGTTTTAGCCAAGGGAATTCATAAGTGGGAGTGCCTTAAGACCCTGCTTTTAGATAGAAGTAATAGCTTAGTCTGGAAGAGTGACTTCCTGCTGGGGCTAATGAACAAGGAGTGTGTTTGCCTGGCAGCCCCCACGCCTTAGGTTAGGATATCAGAAGAAAAAGTACTCACTGCTAGATAATTACGGATAGCTATCTGCTTGAGACTGCTGACAGAGCTTCCACTTTTTAACCCTGAATTGTAAACCCTGTTTGATAGATCCCTTCTTTTTTTTTTCCTATGAATATTCCTCACCCCTAGATTTTTAGCCCCCTAATCTCTAGAATTAACTTCTTCCTTTGTGCTTCTTTCTGGTAGCTTTGAGGTGTGTCATACCACCCCCATCCTTTGGAAATCTTTTCAAGGTTATAGCATACTCTTACCTCTGCCTCAGCTTGTTCATGTGTGAAGTTCATAAAGGAGTTATTGATTTCCACTACTTCCAATTTTCTTTTAATCTTCAGCTTCTCAATTCCCTGTCAAGATGTTTCTGCCTCTATTACCCTGTTGGACCTGCCTGCCCCTGCTCTTCTTTGGTCTTAGCTTCTGTGGTGTTACTTTTTGTTTGTTTATAGTTCTCTTAAAGACTTCTGTGCTCACACATCTTCTTCCTACTCTTCTTGTTGGCATGAGTATTCACTGGCATCAGTCCCTGAGCCTCTTTTCTTTTCCTCCGCTGTTCACTTGCTTTCATGTCCCTTCTCCTCCTAAGTTCTTATGAAGCTCTCATCCATAGCTGGAACTGCTTTCTTTTTTTGAAAATATCTTTATTCTGTAAAATTATCTATATAACCCCTTGCTACTCACGCTGTAAAAAAACTTTTTTACACGTGTGTTTATGTATCCTGTCTAATTCGGTCTCTTTATTTGCATAACCTTGTATTTGTGTGTTGTTTGTCTTTTTACCCCTAGAATTTGAGTACCTGAAAGTATCTTTCGAAACTAATGTATAATACATGATAGATAGTCAGTAAATGGCTATTGTTAATGATTAATAAAAATTCTAAAATAAAGTTTAGGATAGACTGTGGCCTCCAGTCTTTTCCCATTAACCTTTTTTTCCCCATTGATGATGATAATAGCCAGCATTTTTTCAGCATTAGGTACCATGAGGAATAATTTGTAAGGTTTTTTTTCCCCCCTCTTAAGTCTTACAGCAGCTCTGTGTAATGATACTTTTATTATGTACATTTTACAGATGAGGAAATTGAGGTTTAGGGAGAATAAATGATTTGTCCTTAAAACCCAAGTTTTTCTGACTTCAAGGTCCATATAACTGCTGTACTCTAAGAAAGCTATTTGTTAATTTTTTTTTTTTAAAGGAATGCATGCGGTAGCACAGATAATTCAGTTAAAATCCCAGTCCAGGAAGAAATGCCTGAGAGAACCACTTGATGTGCATCCCACCTTGATCCATCTCCTCAGTTTGAAGTATCAGTTTAAGAACCAGTTTGCCTGTAGAAATGTATGCAACTCTGACAGAACAGCAGATTCTCTGGCTATGTTTCACCTGTGTCAGTTGTCCTGGGGCCCAGGAGGTAGAGCCCAGCCATTCCTCCAAACGCGTTTGTCTGTTAAGTAACACCAGGGCTTGGTTAGCTTCCTGGAAACAGAATTGTTAGCCTGATAAACTAGCTCTTATAATAGCATCATCTTACACAGAATTAGAAACAGTTTTAATCATACTTGTCACAGATTGAAAAGCATGTGTGTATCTGTGTATGAATATACACATTCATTTTGTTTCAATATCTGAGTTGAGACAACTATTCTTAGTTCTAAGGCAGGTTTCCTTGATATTGAAAATTACATGCATTCTGCTGTTAGGACTATCAAGGGATGCGCCTCAGAAAACACCCATCTCGTGCCATCTAGTCATAATCATAGTGGTCCCAGTTTACTGTAAAGTGTGTGCGTGTGTCGCTCGGTCGTATCTGACTGTTTGAGACCCCATGGACTGTAGCCCACCAGGCTTTCCTCCAGGAGATCTTCCTGACCCACAGATTGAACCTGCGTCTCCTGCATTGGCAGACGGATTCTTTACCATTGAGCCACCTGGGAAGCCCCCATTTACTATTATAGTTGGTCCAATAATTTTATACATATATAATATTTAATGATATATAATTTTATACATATATATTATGTTAAATTTAATATAAGTGCATGTGTGTATGCTAAGTCGCTTCAATCGTGTTTGACTTTTTGCGACCCCCTGGACTATAGCCCACCAGGCTCCTCTGTCCATGGGATTTCCCAGGCAAGAATACTGGAGTGGGTTGCCATTTCCTTCTCCCAATATAAATGCATATATTTATATTATATGTATATAAGCCAGTCATTATAGTTTAGGTGTTATACTCTAGTTTTAAAATCTTGGTTTGGAGGTTAAAAAACAAAAACCAAGCAAGTTCTCTTTCTTTAAGGAGCCTACAGGTAAATTGTGAGAAAATATAAAATAATTGATGGGATGTATGAGTTTTAATTTTTTAATAAGTGTCTTTGTGTAAATACCTGCTTCGTCCTCATTCGTTACCTCATTTACTTCATTCTTTTTGTACTACAACTGTATCACTCATACTTTTGTATGTACTTTGAAGTGGAATTAGAAAGGAAGCTACTCTAATGGTGTTTTTCTTACAAGTCTTAAATCTAATTTTACTTTTCTGAGCAGGCAGAGGTCTCTTCATGGGTACCCTTCTCCTTCCTTCCTGCACCTCCTCAGAGGGCAAGTAGGGCACCAGAGCAGATTTGGTCCAGGACAAGGGGAGAGGCAAATGATGCCATTTACTTCCTATGCTCCATGCTGGTCTTTCCTTTACACAGGGTATTAGAATATTTTCAAGGGACAGTGATAAAGGGCGGAAGATAGGCACACTCTATGGGTGGAGTCTTGAGCTTGCTTCTTTTAAGGTGTGCCCCAAGTCCGTAAGTGACTCACTTGTCACGAAAGCAAGTATGACAACTCATCCTAATGTCCCTTGGCAGATCAACAGACCTGTTTCTTTTTAACTTCCCACTGCTATTTGAAGGACCTGGGAGAATTTGGCAAGACGTGGAATTGACCTGGTTTTAGGTTCTCGGTTTTGGCCAGTTGTCTTCAGTGCACGAGAACGCTAGTGCTCTATGCTATTTCAAGAAAGGGGATTAAAAGTAATACCAATAAGGCAGAGACAATGCACTGCTTGCTTGGTTAGGGAAGAAAAACAATAGAATTGCCTTTTGACTTCCCCGTGGGAAGCAGAAGTCCTATAAACTTGTAAAGAGTTGGGAAGGGGCATTCAGAGGCTAGGCTTGTGAAACAACTTCTGTTTAAAGCAGCAACCTTGTTTGGTACCTTTTAAATATGCTTTCCTACAGTACTTGAAGGATAAGTCTGTGACTGATTCTGTCTCATAATTGGTTCTCCATGAATTCATCTTTTTACTTAGTACCCTACTACACTGTGCTGTGTTGTTTTTCACTTCACTCCAAGTTTTCATCTATTTTTCCTGGTTGAGTTTCTCTGGCACTGGAAGAATTGGTTTATTTGAATACCTCTCTCGCTCCCAGTGAATAGGTAGATATTGCTGCCAGAAATCTGATTGGAGAACTGTTAGAATCCATTAAAATTCAATTTGCCATAGTCTGATCTCAGTTATCCTCTTTTCACAGATAGCAAATTTATGTCGTTTAGTTACAGGGTCTGTCATTTCACCTAGGCAGAACTCCCTGAGTGTGAGTCATACAACTTGTGAAACTACTTTCTTTTGTGGTCCGTTTTAAAGTGTCTTAGCCCATGTGCTCTCTTTCTTTGCAGACGAGCAGGAGGCATTGAACTCGATCATGAAGGACCTGGTGGCCCTCCAGATGAGCCGACGTCCCCGGGTGCCTGGATATGAGACCATGAAGAGCAAAGACACGGGTCACCCAAATAGGCAGGTGTGTGCAGCTGTGGCTGTTAACTAACTTTGTTGGGGGGTTGGTTTCAGATGGGAAATATGTGAGAAGCCAGTGATACTCTAATACAGGTTTAAATGCTGTTGACCCCTTCCTTTCAGTCTGTTGAATGGTAGGTAAGTGATGTATACCCACCAGGTGTGGGTCATGATCTGGAGTCCCAGTGCCTGTGCATCTGACCTTGTAAATAGCATTTCATTTGTGGAGAATAAGAGTAATTTCTTTGTTATGGGGACAGTACTCATAGAATTTTTCCTTTACTGATCATTTGGCAAATACTTTATCCAGACTCTTGATCTCTAGCTCAGAAGGTCTTTAAACAGTATATTCTCAGGAAGAATTAATGGATTTTAGTTTGTTTAAATGTAATTAGGAAGGGAAATGTATTTAATAAAACATCATATATTCTGAAGGTAAGAATGAGTGATTTTATTATTACTGCTATTTACAGCTGTTTCCCCTCATTAACTAAGGTAGTTGAGAGTGCCTGTTTTACTGAGAGCTGTGTGCTTTCTTAGGAACGCAGTTTGTCTTTTGTTAACATCTCAGCGTGTGCCCTGTGGAGAACTTTCTTCTCCCGGTCAGTCTTGCTGGGCTCCTTGTTTCCCGGGTCCTTTGGCAGCAGAGAGGAGTGAGTGAGGGGGAGCCTGCCTTCCTAGTGGCCATCAGAGGGTTGTGTTCCATGTGGTTGATGATTTCCTCCTTGGCGGTTCTCTTGGTTGTCAGCTGACCTTCTCTCTGCTCATCTGCACCTTGTCTACCAGTTCTTCAGAAGTGCTCTTGGTTCCTGGAGAAAGTAGAAGGGGCTGGAACTTTTTCTGTCTGAAGTCTGCTAGATGTAGCCTTCCAGAGTATTTCCTGCCTTTAGGAAAACTGGGGACCCCAAGTCCTTTTGTTTCAGTTATAGCGGAAGGAATAGTTTAGAGAGCTGCTCTTATTTTTTGTGGTTACCTTGTAGAACTGGGGAGCAACAGAATAGGGCCCATTCTTGTACTGCTTTCATGCACTATTCTGATCGTGTGGGTTCTGCCTTGCTGTAACATTTCTATTCAAAGCTGCTTTTGGAAGGAGCATTTTACCAGAAGTGAATCCCCTCCCCCAGGCTTGAGCCTAATGACCTCACTTTCCTTCCTGTCTTCCTATGTGGAGTGTGCTTGCTAGTGCTGCTCCAGTCAGCTGATCCTTCTCCAAGTGGGACTGTTAGCGTGGACATCAGTTAGTAGGTGAAAAGGGGAAGCTTTCTTGAGTTGGAAGGCCCGAAAGAACCCGGCTGAGGGGTGAAGTGGTCTGTTACTGTTTAGGAATCCTGCGTAGAGGATACTAAAGCTACTATTAGAAAATCCTGATCTTTTACTGTGCCTACTGCTGTGCTTTTGGAGTGAAAGCTGTGGTTATAGAAGTAGAAGGCTGTGAAAAGGATTGACTACTATCAGGAAATAATCTTAACAAGAAATACTAGCTGTTTGGATCCACAGTTTACTTGAATATCATCAGACTTTTTCTGCAGCATGAAGGATACAGATTATTAACCTCAGTTTTTTTGTTTTTAAAGAAAAAGCACAACAGCAGCAGCTCAGCCCTTCTGAACAGCCCCACAGTAACAACAGGCTCATGTGCAGGGGCCAGTGAGAAAAAGAAATTTTTGGTAAGGAATAAAATTACCCATTAAAGGTGAAATGTGCTTTTAAATCTTGCAGTACTCGAAGTGTATAGAGTTCATTTCTTGGACGCATTGTCTTAGTGGATTTGTAGGGAGCACTGGTTACTCGTTACCTGTGTTCTGTTACCATTTCTCACAATAATATTATTCATACGCAGCCTGTACCACTGCTGAACAGTAAATTTCTGTGGTGATAGAAATGGTCTATGTTTGTGCTGCCCCATGTAGTAGCCACTGGCCATACGTGGCTGTTGAGCAACTGAAGAACTGAATTTAAATTTTTATTCCGTTTTAATTATTTTAAATTTAAATAGCAACATGTGGCTATTGGCTGTGGTCTTAGCACAACTTTATATAAGGGACTTTTGATTTGTTGGGCAAGAAATTGAGTACACGCTTGGAGATGTGTACATTCATCCTCCATGGACAGGTCATGAGTTCATGGGTTTCTACACATTGTGATAAGCTCATCAGTGGGAAACCTATCTAATAGTCTAATCCAGGGCCCTGGGGTTCTGGGGGGAATGTGAAGCTGTGGAACTATCATGGCTGTTTAGAAATTGAAGCTCAAAGTTTTATGCTAACTTTAGGTGAAAGGACAATGAAAATATCAGACTAGCTTCTGCAGTTAATAAAGTCAAGGTTGTAGAGTGGTCTCTTCTGGGAAGTGTAATAGATGTTCAGCTTCTGACCAGGAGAAATATTCTTCAGCAAAATCCTGAAAACAGGAGGAGAGAGAAAGTCTTAGTGAATGCATTTCCGAGGAAGTGTGAGTTGGGGTGAGATGGGGGTGGTGAGAGCAGTTAAGGGGAAAAGTGTTTACAGCCTGATATAATGAAAAGAGCTCAGCCTAAGAGTCTTGAGATGTTAATAGTTTGTTACTGTAGGACTTTACAGTTTACAAAGTGAATTCCCTTTTTAAAAATTCTTGTTTTTGTTTGCTTGGGCCTAGGATAGGAATAAACAGTTTTCTCATTACCACTTCTTCTGCCAGAAGGTCCATGCTTAGGAGGAGAGAGGACTGAAAGATCAAAAACCTAATGTAAATGGCTAAGAGATGCCAAATTGGTCTAAGAATTGTCACACTGGGCTATTCAGGTTGCAGAGTCCTGGTTGAAAGAAACCAAGTATTTTGGCCAGTAGGAAAAGTGGTTTGTTTGGGGATAGATCAGTGCTCGTAGGGACAAGCAGCGCTTCAGAGTGAGAATGGTGGAGCTGAGGTTGGCATAGCCTCCTGGGGCTCAGGCTTGGCACAGCAAGGAATGCCACGGGAGCTGGGGCTTCACTGACAGAACTGTTTGGGACCGAGGCCTGGAAGAACGCGAAAGCCTAATTTAATATCTCTGCTTGGCAAGACTTCAGACATCCTCTTCCCTGAGTAAACAAACTAGGCGATTAATTGAAAGAAGAGAATGATTGGAGAACAGCTAAGCATTCTGAGCAGCTGTGGAAGTACGGGGGCGTGACGTGCTTGGTTATCCACCTGCTGGCTAGGAGCTAGGGTCTGTGCGCCTTCTGCTTCCCAGTAGGTCCCTGGGGGCCTGCCGCCTGGCTAGAGCCGGCTGCACGCCTTTGGATCGGCGTGGTGCGCCCTCAGGTGACTGGGGCCCGGGATGGCACTGCAGGCCATGCTGTGCAGACCCTTCAGAAGTCATCACTCGCAGTGCTTTAGCACCGGGTCCGTTTCTCCAAGCTGGCAGCTAGTGTGCTGAAAGGAGCGCTGGCCCACAGGCCATGGAGTTGTTACTAATCCATTCACATGGAATTTTACAGTTTGGAGAGTGCTGTCAACAACGACAGTGAACAACAATAACAGCAATATAAGCATGTGTGTTATACTTTAAAAATTCTCAAGGTGCTACGCAAAGGTGTTAAGTAGAGCCAGGAAGCAAACCCAGGCCTTCTGACCCCTGGTCACGGTAGTTTTCCCATGTGTGAGTCTGATGACCTTTCTGAACCGCAGTTTTGCTGTTTACCTCTGGAAGTTGTGAGCTTATAGACAGAATATAGAGCACTTTATACGTTGGAACACAAGGTAGGGTGTAAAGCGGTAGTGACTGCGTCACTTCTGTTGTCATGGAGCTGAAATGGTTAAGGTTTTCTGCCTTTATTGGATTGACATTACTATCAATCAGATGGTCCTTTGCAGACTTCTGCAGCTAACCTAACATATGAAAATCCCAGTGAAGGAAGAAATAGAATCCTTATTACCACAGATTCCTGTTTTCCTTGAATCTTATCACAGAGGTAGGTAGAGGCTTGAACGGAGATGTTCACTAGTTGGTACTTGAGAATGAAAAAGTTGTTTTCTTCATAGCAGGCACTAGAAGGGCAGGCTCTTGGTATCAGCTCTAAAGGAGGAGAATTCTAGGAGCTGTTCTGCCAGCAGGGTCAGGGACTGAGCAGACTGTCTTTTGCTTTTACTGTGATAGACCTGACTCTTCAGGACTTCCTTTTTCTTTCAAGAGTTATTGATAAGATAGGCTGGCTAGTTTGAAAATAAAACACAATACAGTGTACAAGTCTCATATTCTATTTCATAAGAAGCTTCCTTTTCTGTGGTATTTTATTAAGTAGCAGTAAATAATGGATATGCCATTTCATCATTGATTTATTTATTCACACCCTCACTGAATGCCTTGCGCAGTGCCAGGACTGGAGACTGAGCAGGAACTGGGGCAGGGAAGACGGTCGCTTTATAGTCACCTCTTCCACTGATCTCTTAGGACTTCTCTGAGTCACACAAATAAAATTATTTTTGGTGCTCTTTTCTTCTCATTTATTTACTATCTTTGGCAAAATAAGGACTCCAGTGCCAAAGATGTGGGAGCCAGCAAAGGTACATAGCAATGTGGGGGAATGGGAGCACTGCAAAACCAGAGAGAGGGTGCCAGAGATACGGGCTCATGGGGGCCTTTGCCAGGTCAGAGGTTCACAGACCTTTGTTTAATAAACACTTTGATTTTTTTTTTTAAATGCTTGAGAATCTTCTCGGATTACATGTTCAGTTGTTAAATTCAGACTTTGAGAAGGTCTTTTCTACTTAAGTTTGGTATTGTTGGTTACTCCTATTGCCCCTATGGTGTTCTCAGGTTGCAGCTCAGCCTGGAGGCCTGCGCTGTCTTCTCCTGTCTGTGGCTCTTACTCTTCCTTTCACCACACTGGCTCTGGTGAGCCAGGGGACTTGAACCTACCTAGACCTGAATTTTTGTACTGGTGCTTTTTTTCTCAGCAGCTGTGGCATCTCTCCATTCAGTTCAACATGAGCTTATACTCAAGCTTCTTTGACAAAAGAAATATGTTATATTCTCTGTACGCTAGG